GGGGGGGGGGGGGGGGGGCTGGACTCAATCTTCCGAGGCCCCTTCCAGCCCTAATTTCTATGAAATCTCTATACAGCTGCTAGTAAGGTCAAGATGATATGCAAGCCTTAGGTCTATCAGAGAATCACCACTCTCCTAGTAGAAGCTACAAGCATATAAGCATTCATTTAATTTCCCCCCAGGGGAAACATGTACCATCTGGGATACAAATCTCTCAGGTATCAACCTGGAAGACATCCCTTGCAAAAGAAATTCTCTCACAGTCTGGTCTGGGAGGGGAGAAAAACAGTGGGACAAAACCTCCCACCCATGCCCCAACCTGGGAATCCAGTCCCCTTCAGGACCTCTCTGGGAGCAGAGTGGAGCAGCCTCTCCTTGCTCCCTGCCTACACCCACACTGGGGACCTCAGTCTGGGGAGTAGGCAGGTAGATGGTGTTACCTGCTGCTTCCTCTCTGCTCCAATTGCCAGGAGCAAGCTGAGGAGGAGCAGCTGCTCCCCAGCATCCTTCTGCTCCCTGGTCAAGTGTGTCCAGTCTGGGGAACAGGCAGGAGGAGTTGCCTGCTGCTCCCTGGCTTTCACACGGTCTTTTTCACAGAGAGGAAAACTGGTTCTCTTTGTTCAGTTCTACACTAGGGAATGCAGTGCAATTAGACATCTTTGCTGTCAAAAGAAGAGTGTTGTGAAAATGTAGTCACTGGGTGCATGTATGCATTCAGTTGACCTGGTGGAACTTTAGCAGTTTAGTCTGAGTAGCTGGAAGCCCTACTGGTAGAGCACTATACAAGCACTGCAGAGCCCAGCTAAGTGCTGTGGACAGCCTACACTGCCAATGGCAGTGAGCAAGCACTTCCCACTGCATGCATCCCAGTGTGCTATGTGGGTTCTCCTGTCTGCCTGGAGACAGTTGACAGCAGCTAAGGGTATAGGTCAGGGCTGATCAGCTGGCCTATGCCCCCTTATCTTTCCCTCCCAGCAGTCAGGCTTTGAACCAACAGATCCAGAGCAGGTCTGTTGTCTTTTCAAGCCCATAAATTTATCCTCCAGGAGCCTGCAATGGATCCTGACCCATCTGGCACCAGTTATGGACCCAGTTCCAGTGCAACATAAGTGAGTCTGATCAGCCAAATGCTGGTGGGCGGAGTGCTGATGTTGGGGGGGCAGAGGGTTTTGAGGGCTCTGGGAATGGTAGGGGCAGCCCATTTTATGTCTGGGGAAGGGGGAGGGAAGGGTGTTGGCTCCATTCCTAATAGAGGTCTGTCTATGCTGTTTGGGGACTGGGGGAGGGTGTCTGATGGATTTGGGTCTCTGCCCCCCCCTCCTGTACTCTGACAGCATTACACATGGAAATGGAAGCCCCTGACCCCTACCCCCTACACTGGCACAGACCGGCCTTTCAGGTTAGGATCTAGGAGGATGGTTGGAGGTCTGAGGTGTAAGGCACTAGAGCCTGGGCATTATTAAGCAGGGCAAACTGAGCCCCATCCCCTTTCCCATGATTAATTGATTCTGAGATTGCTTT